GTCAGGTTGCAAAAGATGTTGGAATATCAACCACTTTTTTAATTCCTCGTTTTACTTGTACTTTTTGGGTGAAGTGGAGGGGCAAATGCCCATCCAGTGAAATTAGTAAATGGGTAGAGGGCAAATGAAGAGGTCTGTAAATATTGTTACGATTATATAGTCTTAAAATAAGTAACAATAAAGAACGAAAACGAACAATATTTGTAAAGTTGAAAATAGAACCTACTTCCCTAAAATATATAGTAGCAAGTAAAAAAAAGTTACAGTATGGTGAATAAAATCTTAAACATTCAGTAATGTTCTATAAAATCCAAAAGTATCGAATGATCTGAATAAGTTCCAAAGGTATTCCGAATGGCGATTTGTATTCATTGAAGTATCAACAACACAAAATAATCACTATGATATAAGACCAAACTATCATTAAATTAATTCACAGTATTTTCTTGACAACTATTATTTAACTAATCTGAATATTTCGTGCACTGTAATCTCAAAGAATGATTAAATTAAATAAACGAATACTCTCCATGAATAACTTCTAAGACTGTTGTTACTAAGGAATGGGGGGGGGGACCGAGTGGCCGAATGGTCTAAAGCGCTAATCGTAACGGATCACTGTCATCTTACCTCTGTCTGCGTGAGTTCGAGTCCAGACTCGGCTAACGTGAGTAAGTGAGAAAGCCTGCCAGTAGCTTCTCGTGGGTTGGTGGTTTTTCCCGGGTCATTCTAAGGTTCTTCCTGCACCATTAATACTGACCGCTATGTATAGTTTATCTTGTGCTGAAAAATGGCGTTAAACTCAACAACAACTACAACAACTAAGAAGAACAAATAATTATTCGTAATAATCCTCTTATATAGATAGTTAATACGCAATTGTTAAAACATAAAGACGGATCAATGACTCATTTATATTCCACATCGAACTGGTAAACATTGTTAGCTGCTTATCACTAGCTAATTTGAAATTAGGTCATCTTGTCTTATTAAAACAATCTGTGACCTGCAGTCCGATCACGTGATATTTACTTTGATAACTCAGCCTTCAAACTTAAAGGGATCGACGAACTATTACAATGATTCATCTAATAGTACAAACCCATTCATTTAGAAAACCAGCATTTAAAATATCAATATACAAGTGTGAGGATTTGCGTCATCTTTATCAAACTAGTATGGGAGTTTTTTTACGACTATTATGGTTTTATATTAAGTAATAGAAACGAGCAAAGAATAACATATTTTGTAAAATTCAAAATTTTATTTCCTTAAAAACAAAGTGAAAATTTTAAAATAACTTTCAGTATGGTGAATAAAATTCTAAAGTCCTAAAGTTCTATTACAGTCCAAAAGTATCAAGTAATCCAAATGATTTTCAGTTGTATTTTGAATGAAGTTCACTTTAGTCTACAATTTCGCATTTTGCAGGGGAAAAAAAGAAAAAATAATTTCCTCACTGGTTATACTTGCTTTTTAAAACGCCTTATATCTTATAAACTGTTAAAAGAAATTTAATTATTTATTGTGGTGCACGATTTATGGATGTAGTTTAGGCTGAGTGAATAGCTTTACCTTACTACAGATGTGCCACTACAAAAGCAAATCCTAGCTCCACTTGGTCATTTTCACTTCCTTGTATTTCAGAGGTTTATTGGATACAAAATTCGATAACAGTTTTTACATTTTATATAATTGGTTATTCATTAATTTCACTTTCCGAAGCAATATTGCATAGTCTGGCAAAAATCCTTTTTACTTCATTAATAACTGCTAAAGGTAATGTATTTTAGACTAATTTAGGCTAATGTTTGGAGCACATGGAATCAGTCATTTGGGTTATTTGTGGCTTAGATCATCTACAACTTACACAAGAACAATATCCTTCAAAATTTCAGCCACAGTACATGAAAGTAACATATACCTATGCCAAAATTCTCTCCACTGTGTATATTGCAAATAACTTCACCTTTCACCCATCACTCTCTTAGAAGTTCATGATATCTACAGAGCGCAAGCTTAATAGAAAACACATAGGTATTGTGATTATTCTATCATTCAATTTTGGTTGCATAGCTGCAACATTTAAGTAGCAAGTATCAAAACAGTTCTTTTGAATAATTCTTTTGTTCACACTACAGAGCAATATTCATTCAAAGTAAAGTCTTACACAAGCCCTTCTCCATTCCACCTCCTTAGGATGAAAAGTGAGCCATTTAAAACATTACATTGCATTTTCTCAAAATAGCAACTGATATTGTGTTGAAAGTCAAGGACTTAAAACCTTTCACATTATTCCTGAGATGTCACTAATACATTTAGAGTTTGAAAATTAATCGAACAGATGAGATTCTTGATTGTTCTTCTAAGACATGAATACGGAAAATGTGTATTTGCTTTGTCATTATTTATTTCCTAACCATATTAATTGTCCCTCATACGACTGAAATAAAAAAATAAAAACAAATAAAACAAAATGGGATGAGTGAACTTAAAATAATGTTTGAACATAAAAAGTATTTAAAACTAATGTATTAATGATCTAATCCAAAATGTCCTTAAATAAACTCGCAATATTTCGAAGAACCAAAATCCGAAGTCTGTGCAAACTTCCAATGAATAATTGAAAGTAATAAATAAATCCTCTCAAATGACCACAAATAAATTGCTACTCTACGAATAATCTTAATGTTGGGTATAGTTAATTTTCATGTAAACATTTATTATATCGAAAAGTTAGACGCAATAACAGAAACGGATGAGGGCTGAAATATTCGTTCTAGCTCAATCTAAGCTTATCAGCAAGGTCAAGTATCTTATTAGCCAGCCAGTCGGAAACTAGATCAATTTGGCGTTTTAAGAAAATCCATGACCTTGAACACAAATCTCATCGCCGTATTTACTTCGATAATAGTACAATTCACAATCTTGAAATAACGCTCTGAACTTTTTCAAATGAACACATTTTAAACTACAAACCCGATCATTAGTAACTAGCATATTATTTACTAAATGAGCCTTTCAAACAATAATCAATAATGAAATTAACACACATGATATAGATATACATAACAGAGTGAAAATGTCTCAGGTGGCAAATGTCATGGAGTCAACCACATGAAACTGATTTCAGACGTAAAGAAAGCAGTGTGAAAGAGATATTGGAAATCCAGCTTCTCATTAGTACCTTTCAGTGTCCTGGTAGACACGGTAAGTTCGAGCACAGGAAAGTTAATACTGTAACTGATTCATCCATTAGATAATTTATCAAAGCAAACTTTATCGTTGTATTTTATTGCATATTTGCCCACGCACACATACATACTCAAATACTTCATATTTAGTTTGAAGTGATCACTATGATAAATATAACGATAAGACAAGTAAATAAAATACCCAATAAATTCGACCACATACTGTCTTTACTTATATTTAGTGCGGAACCATCGAAAACCAAGGAAATGTAGGTCCTCGTTGTTTTCTGAAATGTTTAAGAATAACAAGGATAAAATTTTTACTTTAAAAAGCGTACAATATTGCATAAGGATGGATGAAGATCTCATTGACGCCTAATCTAATTTAACCAAGAAATACGGATATATTGGTTTTGTTGCCGGTTAAACGTATTTTCAAAGCCATTAAAACTCTTTGGAAAATTAAATGCAGTACTGCGCTTGCTTAACACTTTCCCATTCAGCGACAAAGACCGAAAAGAAAGAGTGTTCATAAGAACTTGATAGTTTGACCAGGCAGTCTTGTAGAGGGCACTGTTCTCCTTACAGCGTTTGTGCCGAGTATACCATCATTCATTTTTTTAGTAAACCTTTGTTTTTTTCCAATAAGGAAGTAAGTTCTGTTTGCATCAAGAAATAGAAACTCTTCCCAAATACTTCTTTGGTTTGAAGAAAATGGGTGTCGGGCCGAAATCTATGAATGGTGTGATACCCTGCGTGATGCAGAATACTGTTTGAGAAAAGTCTGTGCAAATATATTGTCTTCAGCTTATGTACCTGCTGATATGTTTCATGTAAATTATGTTTGAAGGAGAGCACTATTCGTATTAATGATAAAGGTTTCATGTAAATTATGTTTAAAGGAGAGCACTATTCGTATTAATGATAAAGGTTTCATGTAAATAATGTTTGAAGGAGAGCACTACTCGTATTAATGATAAAGGTCTCATGTAAATTATGTTTGAAGGAGAGCACTACTCGTATTAATGATAGAGGTTTCATGTAAATTATGTTTGAAGGAGAACACTATTCGTATTATTGACAAAGGTTTCGTGTAAATTATGTTTGAAGGAGAGCACTATTCGTAATAATAATAAAGGTTTCATGTAAATTATGTTTGAAGGAGAATAAAGATTCAATTCTAAGAGTATGCATTTGATTTTAACAATCAAAGAACATTTCAAAAATGGTAAAAACTATCCATTCAAAATGTACCAGAAACAGCAATGCACCAATGAGATATGGAGGGTACCAAGCTGGATTCATTTTCTATGTTTAATTTATTCTGTATTTTTAATACTACCGTCTTTTTAACATGCGAAAGGTAAGAAGAAATGAATAACAAAATAATCAATAACATCTAATTATATTAGCACATGGACACCCATTTTTGTATCGACCAGGTGTAGTTGCTAGAGGATAGATTCCTTGGAAAACTAATACTTGTTGATTATGTCCGGGCATTGCTAAAGACCACCGGGACAATGCAAACAAAAAGCATACAAATAGAGGTGTGTGTGTATGTGTGTGTGTGTGTGTGATTTGCATTTTTATCGTAGCTTTAACAATATTTATGTCATATCGCTACGATCTCTGCGATGTGGCAGTTCATAGTGATGTCTAGCATTGGGGCATTATGCCGCAAACAAATGACATTATGTCCTATACTGTCACATTATCCCGACACTTGGATGACCAGTCCTAATAAGAACATCTTAATGTTGAACGTCTAGCGTGGCAGCTATTAGTACCATGTTATTAGTCTTTTGTATGACTCGACCGGGATTTAAACCCGCGACCTCCTACATCTGAGGCGGACGCTCTAACCACTAGGTCACCGTAACGGACTATAAACACCTGTGAATTTCTCCAAGAAGCACGGGGTCAGACTAGAATAAAATCTCTCCGGTTTGGTGTGAGCAAACGGATCATATCTAAATTTAGGGGTGTTGTTTGGCTATTAAATATTCAAAACTGAGACTCATTTTTACCGTGGAATGATTGGGAATGAGTCATGCTATATTTTAAGATGCCTTTAATTGTGGTTGTGAAAGCAATTTGGTGCATTTGCACACGTAAAGTAAGCATTAAATATGGTAAAGAACTATGTTTTTATTGACTCAGAAATGGAGTCATGAACCCAGTAGAATTTGATCATTCCAAAAGCTGCAGGATAACACGTTTTAGTACGCATAAATGTATCATAACTGCACTTCCACTTCTAAAAATCCTAGTCTCATTGGCATGTTGGTCTGAGTTCAGCTTGGATAAATTCATGTGTGTAATATATAATAAAATAATTAGTAAATTTGCCTCCAGATGATCAACCACTGTACTCGCAACTTTCAGACAATTATATGGACCATACTTCGAGTGTATGGGAGTATCATTGGCCTTTCCTATCAAGTCAGGAAAAAAAACTTATGAGGTAGTTTATCAAACCTGAGAACTGTATTCTGAACTACTTTCGTTCACCTGGAACAATATCTTGGCGGAAGAAGATAAAGTCACAGTCGGAACAAATTCTACGTTTGCTGTAGTAGCATAGGTGATGAAATCCGCCGGAAGCGATTTACCAAACACATGAAACTGACATGTATTGATACAATTATTTACGAGGTCATTTTGTTGTTTTGATGGAGGAGACTGAGCCATGTTCTGATCAGGTCAATGATTGCCATTCAGACGACCTTGTCTATATAAGAAAGAAGGATTGATCAAGACGGTGTGAACTATATTTCATTTGCCACTTGTACGTAATTTCAGTTGTATAAATACTTGAAATGGTCTAAAAATATTGTGCCAACATACAACGAAAGTAAGAATTCATGGTCGGTATTTGTATTCTTTTATTTAGAATATTTCCATTATAAATCTCCTCTCCGCCCAAGTAAAATTTCACTGATAGCTCTTTGTAAGGTACAGACTGTATAATCTAAACACGTGATTTTGCTTAAAAGCCTTGTTATTTATTATCAGAAGCAGCTGCAGCTCAGTTGGATGAACAGGTTCTGATACAAACTCGGGGTGGTTACCTCGGTGCGTCCATTTTCTCAACATGTCCCTAATGTGTTACAAGTGTTAGGGTAAATATCATTTTGCAATAGACTTTCAGGGGCTCCCGCAGAATTATTTTCGGGAAGGGGGAAAACATGTAATCGTCAGCTATTAAGTTTCACATATGTAGGCCAAAACATGTTTCGAGTTGGAATCGAGTTGGTGGGGTGGGGTGGGGATGGCAAATGCACCCCTCCCCTATAGCCACTATGTAGGGGCACACACATAGACTTTGAACCTATTCACCAAATCAATTTAATTTTATGTATTATCTTTACACCTCAGTTGTGACTCTTTTAATACATAAGAAACGATCTTAAAGGTACACATATTTATTGAGAATATTTTGTTTGTTTACATAATTAACTAAATTTGACAAAATACTACGCAAATCGATTCTTAATCGGAAAGTTTGTACTTGCCACTTCATAACGTAGGGGAAATAACTACTTAATTAAGCCAAGTCAGTTACCTGAAAGTGTTACTTCTCTTGTATCAAACTGTACATTTAAAATGACACCCCCAAATATTTATACAGACACACAGATACACGGACACACACAAATAGTCAAACTGTCCTAACTGTTAACCGAGTTCAGCGGTCAACTGGTCACAACGGAAAAGCCTAATCCACCGAAAGTGCTAGCGGTCATATGCATTCTGCATTAGACGGTTGCTTCCTAACAAAACAATGGTTTTAACCTGAATAAAGAGGTCAGTGGAACGTAACTGCTCTAAGTATGCAAAATGAACACTTCAATTGTTTGATGAGCAAGGTATTGTTTAAATAAAGTCATATCATGTAAATTGGTGTTCATCATCATCATCATCATCATCATCATCATCATCATCATCATCATTATTATTATTATTATTATTATTATTATTATTATTATTATTATTATTATTATTATTATTAGTAGTAGTAGTAGTAGTAGTAGTAGTAGTAGTTGTAGTAGCACAGTAGTAGTAGTAGTAGTAGTAGTAGTAGTAGTAGTAGCATTTGCAGCTTTCTCATTAATCCATGTAAAGTCCGTGTTACATAAATAACATTGGCAGTTTTGTTTATATGCCTCTTCCTTTAAAGGGACACAATTATTCCGATTATCAACCTATCTGTGGCACAAACATTTCTTACTTACGGTCATAAAATAATAGGTGTGATATTGTTTAGTTGTCATTATTCCTGGAATATCCAGTAATGTCATGAATGACTTGCGATAAAGTTTCTGAGCTGACGCCTAGTGGCATCAAGGTTTTTTTTTTTTATCCCTCTAGATTTTTTTGCGTGCACTCTTGTGTTAGTGCTGTTAAGGCACTAATTGTGCTTCCATCTGATGTACATTACTACACACGTGGCAGACATCTTTCGTCTGCTAGAAATATTGAACTTTTGAAACTAATTCAGCGACCGACCATCTTGATACTCTCGCAAATTTAAAACTCTGCTCATGCTTAATGTGATTGTAAGTTTCTCGACATACAAGGAGTACACCATAGAAGCTTTAAATGAGGTCAATTTCAACCGTCTGCAGGCACATGCGTGCTGTAGTATAATGCAATAGTGATGCATATATATATATATATATATATATATATATATATATATATATATATATATATATATATAGAGAGAGAGAGAGAGAGAGAGAGAGAGAGAGAGAGAGAGATTTAAAATTAAATTGCTACACGTATATCACAATTATTTTATTTGAGCATATCCCTTTAG